TAAATAAAGGATTGTTTGTGAGGCGTTTATCATTCTCATACTGAATTAACAAATGCAGTTTTTGGAGAGAGAGTGGTTGGAGAGAAATGAATAAAAAAAAGTTGCTATAATGGTTCCAATAGGTATTTGTAATCTGTAGTGTTTTCTGATATAGCTTTAGACTTTGTTTCGAAATTTCAAAATTGACAGGAGAGAAAATTTCAAACATAATTTGTAATTGAAATCAAATTTAATTCATTCCAGAATAATATTCTTTAGAGCCCAACAACCCTGCTTTATCAGTATTATTGTATTTTGTAGTTTGTAGTTCAAAATACTGTTATTTGTCTGAGTAAGTCTTTGTGTGAGTCAGATTTCACTTTTATTGGGTTGATTTTTGGGCGCTCCAGAAGTATGTGTACCAATATGGAGGTAAATATTTTTGTTTGCCTACTCTAAATGAAGTTGTGTAAAGAGAACTGAAACCTATGGGCAGTGGGTATAATCATTTGGCTATCACAGACAGTCCTCGAACTTGTAACAGACCTAAAATAGGGAAAATGGGAATAAAATCATGCCCTAACCTGGTACACACACCATGGAAGTTCCGATTTTTGTCCATACTACGTTTTATCAATGCAATTTTTTTTAATGACCCCGAGTTTTTGATTCTGATGATTTCTGCCTGTATTTGGTATTTGTCTAAGTGAAGACATTTTTATCTGTCAGTCACAGGGAAAAATTTTCATTAAATAATCACAGTATTACAGTTTGGAAGCCCTGGATGGTTATATAATTAAGTATGATGTAATGTCTGATGAATCGGCGCTCCAGTTACCTCCATATTGGTACACACACTTCTGGAGCGCCTGTTTAGAAATGCAAATACTGTCTAGTTATTTGGTAAAATCACAAGTGTCTCTATTGTATAGTTTTGTTATGCTTGGTCCATTGTTTTTCATCTGAAACTATTGGCTTGCTATTCCATTCCCATGCCCAAACTGGAATAGCAATTGAATTGTTTGCATATCCTAACCCAGACCGTAGCACAAATTCTACTTTCTATGTTTTCTTCAATTGTTCGCCTAACAATAAATATCTACGCTAACTCAAAACATACCAAAGTAAGCTGTTGCAACACTAATGTGAGTCATCAGCCACTACGATGTGGGGGTGGCTGTGATATTGCCCATCACTGGTCTCAATAATATCCAGTTTTTTCACAATCGGTCGCCGTTTTCTCGCCAACCAAGTCGAAAATTAAAATTCCAAGAGCGCTACCTTCCGCATAGCAAAATACTCTTCCCAATAAGTCATCTTTGGTCTCGATACTCTATTAACTGGAGAAGCCTTAGTGTTTTAGTGAACATGTTTTTTATTTATTTTTTGCCACATATCAGTCACGCGAGTATGTCAACGCAACACGCAGCGTTCGAAATGAACTCAACGGAACGCGCAGCATTTGCAATGAACTGGCATTTTTAGTAGTGTCTTCTATTATCCATTAATAAACTGAAATGACGCGGGCCTCAAGCAATGGCGGAGATCCAACTGGGCACCTACCGGCTTGGTATCATTTCAAGCTAGACAAACTACCCCAATGCCTGTCACATGAAACCTGAGCGTACCATTAGTGCCTGTGATTTCCGTTCGACTTGGTCCGATTCAGGAGTCTCATATTAATACCGGGAGGCGGGAGAGAAAACTGAGACTAAGATGGCCTTATCAAATGGCGAATCATAGTGTCTCGTCTGTTGGTTGGGGGGATTAGTTAGTCAGCTATTTGTTTAAAATTCATGGTCTTTCAATATCCTTCGCATGCTTGCCGCACTCTTACTTGGAGAGTTCCCCGCCAAGCTCTGTAAGCTTACCGTCTGCCATTTGGGTCGATTCAAGATCGGCCTTCTGTTGCGATGTGGATCAGTGTGCCAAAGATGCAATATGCGACGCCTTAAGGCTTCAAAGAACTAAAAACAATAACTATGAACGCAGTTGAATAAAATCTAGTGCTGGTCGATATGTTTTGTTCCATATATAAGTTAGCTATTTGGTATTTGTCGGAGAGAAACGAATATGAGAAGTTCAATATATGGTGATTGTTCGTAGTCGTAAATTATTTCGGCCCGCATGCTACCGTAACTTTGAAAATTAGGCCTTCCAGTACAGATTTGCCGACCACTGCTCTAGCCTTTGCTCGAGTTTTAGTTTAGTTTATCTTTATCAGAATTTTGATAGCAATGTTAAGATTGCTTTTACATAAAGAGACAAATTTGTTTGGCAAAATCGCAGGCTGGCTCTTGTGAGTTTCATTTTTGTCCAAACATAAAGAAATTTATTCTACTAATTTCTAGATGAATTGATTGAATTAAAAAATTTTAGAATTAACTTCAGTCAGTAACACTGACCCTAACATTATTGAACCTGATCTATTCCTGCAAGACAGAATAACAGAATTCCGCTGTCAAATGTCCAGTTCATTAGTTACAGCTTTTTTTACGGTGCTATCCTTAAAATAAAGAGTGGCAGCATTGCGATGGAGCAGGATAAGTGTTGCAGAAACAGATCAGATTCGTCTAATTGGCGAAAATATAAATGAAAACAAGATATAATCTGACATTTTGCATCCTGTTTTCATTTCCACAGATTGCCTTGGTATATTATCACAATCACAGATTAAATTGATCACGATTAATTTAATGAATCAATCCATTTTAAATATGTCCCTATCGGCCATGGATTGAAAATTTTATGCAACAGAAAAATCATCACGTATTCCATTTTTCATATTTCAACCTCATGTCTTTTTTTCTGATTATATCTTTTTTTTTAAATGACGATTTCATCATTGTCAGTTTTTAGATAAGTAACCGTATTTAGCAGTATATTTAAAGTGAATATGCCATTTCAACTTGATTGGAGAGACAAAACGAGGCATTTTGAGGTTAAATTTGATGATGGTACTCTAGAAATGAAGCATGAAGATTTTGTTAAATGCAGAGAAATTAAGCTGAGAACAAATACGGATCGTAAGTTTATGTTGAGGTGCATTGCTGGTGGTGTAGGTGTTGCAGCAATTGGTGCAACATCCCTGATCTTAAAAAAACCCATCAATTTGCCAGCAATAATTTTTGCATTTGGGTGTGGTATATTTGAGGTGACAATTCCAAGTGACCACGAGAATGAATTCGAAGAGTTTGTCAACAGTGGAAAGCTGACTTCCGAGTTGCAAAGAGAATTCGAAAACATCGAAAGTCATCTGAAAGTTCTGGGAATTACAACCGAATGTTTGGATGATCAAAACAAGATCATCCAATTACTAAAAGGAATCAAAATAGAATCAGTTGAAATGTAAATTCAGTGAAATTCCATTCTATTCCCAAACAATTTGTCCAAGTCCAAATATAACTGCAAATTGAAAAAAGAATTTTCAAATTGTAATAGATGTTTTGTGGAAAATTGTAATTATAATACACAGTTACCTATTGTATATAAATTGGCATCATTCTCGAATATGTTTATATTCTGATCAAGCGAGTGAGCATTTCAAACTTTACTGAAATTTAATAATACAGCAAAGCTTTTGCAATTATTATTTATCTCATAAAAATAATAACACATACTTATCCTTGTTCAGTTGTAGTCAAGAGATTGCGGAAAAAGCATTTGAAGATATGTATAGCAAGGAAGAAGAACACACAAGAATGCCTGCCATTAGCGACAGTGGTAATGTTTTTATTTTTTATGCAAGTTTCAATCAAAGATTTCAAAATAAAAAAGGGCAGATCTATGAATAGAAAAGTTCAAGTAACCACAGATGCACTAAGAGCTTCGTATAACATTTTCTTGTCAGGGAGGAATCCGCATGCAAGAAAATTGGCGCGCACAGAAATTTAATTTGGTAAAAAAGAACTCTACAATAAAAATAGCAGTTTGTTCAGATGCTGACTGAATGTACCTCGTTGAATTAATGAGCCCATCAATACTATCCTGTAGTCAGTCTTATATGAATAAATTCCCTAGCTGTTGCAGGAATAACTTCAAGTAAATTGCAGATGCTGGAAGTTTGCCCGGTTCTGGCCAAAATGCTTACATCGGATACTGTGTTGAATTTCGCCAATGAAAGTGTAATTTGCTGATTCAAATATTAGCAATAATTAAATAGTATTTTACATTCTACAAGAAAAAAAGCTCTTAATTGCTTGATTGGGTCGCGTATGTAATGTATCAGATGAAAAGTGCTGTTTAGTGTTATCCTTCTGAATGGAACTCATGAATTAAGTTTTAAGAGATTTAGGGCCAAAAATTTTTTTTGTAATGACCCATTGACTCCCATACTGGCGTTCCGGTCACAACAGAGATTTGAAACTCAAATGAAAAATCCTATCAAAGCTATTGTATGTATTGGTGTCATAGGGAGGATAAACATACATATATTCAATCATGTATATCAGCCAATACGCTTCTAGCTTTCCAATCAAAAACCGCGATTCCTTGCACCCAAAAAGTCCATCTTTGCATACGTCCAAAGCTACAATTCTGAGATATCCGTTCTTCAATTCGAAATAACAGTCATCGTAATTCATTGCAAACAACTATACTGTCCCGTGAGCTCAAAAATGTTGTGAATGCGTTAACGATAATTACGTATCATCGGAATATTGGCATATCAGGTTTGGCGTTTCGAGTTGGTATTAGATCAGTATAGCCCAGTAAAGCTGGTTTCGGTATTATTACCGATTATGAAGCATAGCAAATACTATGATTCATAATTTGTCATACCAAAAATTAGGTCTAACTGTAGCAGCAATGCCTAATTAGTCATAATTTGGCAGCTCTCACGAAATTGAAAACATCCAGTTTGGTGTCAAAAGTTAACCTGAAATTTCTCTTGATTTTCTGCACCAATGCATCATATTGACATAAAAAACGTATAATAAAGGGTAAAGCAAGGTATCCCTTATTTGTCTAGGAAACACAATAGATCGGGAGGAAATTATTTATGATGTGAATCAAAGGCTTGGATGTCGAGTGTATGTGGGATGAATACAATCCGCTATAAGGGTAAGAAGAAATATGCTGTGAAGCTGCGCACTATTGATAGCAGTATATTCGAGGATAAGTTTCTGAATGAAACTGAAATGGAAAACCAGCTGGATGACCACGTGAATATTGTTCGATACAAGAAACATCACATCGATTCTACTGTACAAGAACGTACATTAGTCTTTGTGACTCAGCTATGCAACAATGAGAAATTGGAAAATCTGTTGCCGACATTTTCTTTTAAGCAAAAGAAAATACTGCTTATACAACTTTGTCATGGGCTGAAGTACATCCATGATAATCAAATTGCTCATAGAAATCTTACACCAGGCAATGTGCTACTTTCGTTAGATGGTAAGAACATCAAAATTATGGATTTTGGAATCAGCAAGAAGTTTGCATTGGATGAAAAGAAAATCATTACCAGATCAACTGGGTTTAATGGAACCCTCGGTTGGGTTGCATCAGAAATGTGTTCAGACAACCGATCCAAAGGATTCGAAGCATGGGTCAAGGCTGATATATATTCATTAGGTCTTCTTATTTATTATATTTTCACTGATGGAAAACACCCTTATGAAGGAGATGCTAATGACAAGCATCAAGGGATCAAGAACAAGAAACCACCAGATTTCTCATTCATTGAAAATAGCGAAAAATTTCATGATAGGTATTTATTAATCGACATCCTGAAGGCCATGCTCAGTCATGAACCAGACGCTCGTCCTGGAATTACACAAATACTTCAGCATTGCATTACATGGGATGCAGTAAAGAAGATGAGTTTTATTAAGGATTGCCATCTCTATCTTGAACAACCTCGTGATGAAGACAGGCAAAAGCCAAAGAGAAAAGCAAAAAGACAACTTGAACACAATGGAACAGTGAAACAGAGAATGGCATACATTGGCAAAGAAAGCATTGATAATTACAGCAGTGATGACAGTGAAGAGTTTGTTCAGTTCGGCAGAAGTGGAGGCGCACCCAAGGACAATGACGGACCTGAGCTGACAGAAGAAGAAGAAAAAGCATTGGAGAGAATTCATGAAATCACTGGTGGAGACTGGGTTGAATTGATAAAGAAAATGCTAGAAGATCCCAACAGTGGAAATAATAAAAGACCGTATGAGAACAGCTTTACTGATCTGGTTCGTTATATACGAAACACTCATGAATATTTCAAAGACAATACAAGAAAAATGAAATCTAAACTTGGCTCAAGAAATGAAGGCATGTGGAACTTTATTGCTTCAAACGTTCCAAAGTTCTTCATTTACCTATTCAATCTCATGAAAAATGAGTTAGAAGAAGATGATAAAAAAAGGTATTTGCAAGAAAAAGCAAAGAATTGTGAATTGCCACAAGAATAATGCAACAAGAAATTGCAAAACTGTAAATGGCAGTGGCATTGCCAACTGAAAGTGATTTGAAAGCAAACAATTATCTGAACTCAGCAAAGACTATTTTACTCTCAATTAGCAAGTGATTTAATTATGTAGTTAAGCAATTTTTTTAATTATTAACTGTCTATGCTGATATTTTTTTTCATATGTTATGACACTATGTGGTAATTTTATTGCACAGTACCATATTTCATTACCATATTTCACGGACCATAATATGCATTCAACAAATAGCTAAATCATTATGACTGTTTTTGCACAGTACCGGTATTTCATTTTGTCTCTTGAATTCAAAACCATATTCATACTTAGGGAACTTAATCACTGTATTAAGTGCTTTTGATCGTAGATTACTCATTTTGTTGTCCAAATATTTTATCATTAATTTTTGAAATCAAATGATTTGTCTATGTAAACTTGGATTTATAGCATGTGGTGTTTGTCTTAGAAAGTCTAGTCAGGTCTGCTTAACTCAAGTACAATTTGAACTCAACCTTAGCCACAATAACAAGAAAGCTGGGATAGAATGTGATTATTCTGACCAGTCATGCCCCAATGACTTTTGTCCAATGACGCATTCTTAATTGTACTAAAGTTTACCAGACCCGCCTAGCTACAATGAAATTGTGTATATTTGCTCTTATTAGTATGTAGCAATCCTCCTGAATTACTTGTAATTTATTTCTTAAACTCATTTTACTGATAAGTGATTATGTTTTTAAAAAATAATTTTCAATTAATGCTATTAATATGTGTGTGTATATTACAGGTACCATACTTAACATTAATTAGATAATAATAGCAAAGAATTATTTAATGACACCTGATTAAAGATTGCTTATGAGAAGAGCAAGAAAATAAAGAAGTACTCCGTTGGATGTAGATGGAAGTTACTGGAATAACAGCAAATTCCAAACTGCCTCCATTTTTGAGAGACAATTGATAGCCTGACTGGTTTATTCATTGGTGAGTTATCAGTTATCAATTTGCCCTTTTTCTATAAAATATTTGATGAAAAGTAGTACATAGATATTTATTGATTTCCACAATAAACAAACTTAATTATTTCTACTGTCTTGTTATTGACTGATTTTCGGTCTTTCTGTAACAGCAACGTTCATTTCGAACGAGGCCCCGTGCAAGCATCCCCATAAGCTTTTGGAGACAGGAGTCTTTCTAGTTCAGTATTGTATAATTGAACTTATTATGCCCTGGGTGATGAGAAAGGGACCTTAACTCTGAATGTGTATGTTTGTGATGGAAAGTAATATACAGGGTGTCCATGAAGTCTCTTTGCAATTTCAATTTTGGTATGAAGCCAGTTCTCAATATATCTTTAACCAGGTTTGTTGTTTTTAATCAGTAATTGTTCGAGTCTTTTTCTTCTGTGGAGGTAACAACAATATATGGTATCGATAAATTCCCTTTGCAATTTTAAAGGCTTCCCAGACTTCATGGACACCCTCTATCTGCGGGAATTTATGAATAAATGAGTTTATTATCGGTTTCCATGAAACCAAATTCAGGTCAATGGTATCAGATGAAAAACAATGGACCAAGCGTAACTTAACCATACATAGGGACACTTGTGATTTTCTCTGCTTGCCAGACAATATTTTTAAAAGTAACACAATACATACACTCCTTGTTACGCTTTACAACCCAACAATGCCCTGTTTTGTTATGTTGCTTTTCTTAGCAAAGCTCAATGATTGAGTTGTCACGTAATGCATTACTAATTTTAAAGACTATTCCAGAAATTCTCAGATATAATACTTAATAATTCTTTAATAATGACCGGCATTAAAAATTAGTTTACTTAAAACAAATACTGGAAAAATTCATTGACAAAAGAATTAAAAACTTTTAAATCATTGAAAAAAATTACCGGTATTACCGTACTTGTGGAAATTAGCACGCACAAAATTAAAATAAATAAATGCGAAAACTCGTGTTTGACTAAATTGCCAGACAATATTTTTAGAAGTAATATATATTAGACACACACCCTCTATGTTAGGCTCCACAGCCTCACAATGCCTTGTTTCGGTCTGTTGCTTTTCTTAACCAAGCTCAATGTTTGAGTTGTCACGACATCTAACTTTCAAACTGTATTATTGCGGCTATTTGAATGAAATTTTTTCCATCGGCTGACAAATAGAAAATGTGTTCCCTCCGACAAATACCAATTGCAAAATTAACGAAATTAAAAAGTAAATAAAAAGCAGTATGAACAAAAACTAAGCCGATGAAAGTAAAATCTGACTCACACAACTAACAGTATTTTGACTAACTACTGGTAAAGAATATCAGAATATTATTCTTGAATGAATAAAATTTTATTTCAATAACAAACTTTGGGTAGTTTGGATTTTTCTTCCCTATTAATTTTAAAATTTCAAACAGAGTCTAAATAAAACATCAGCAAAACACTATAGATTACGAATAACCATTGGAACCACTATAGCAACTCTTTTTTAATTCATTTCTCTCCAACTGCGTATAAAAGCTGCATTTGTTATCTTAGATATGTATTTCCGTCGTGCATGAAATATAATAAAATATTTGCTTGCGGTATCTGCAACTTATACTCTGACGTCGGTACATTTTGATGTTTGCCGTGCCGTTGCCAACAGCGTTTGCCAAACTGAGGTCCGCGGACCACTCGAGTTAATTGATATTAATCAAAAAGTCATTGCATCTTTTAGATGGAGCGTTGCGGACGGATATACATGATGTCAGAGAAGGCAACTAAAATTTTATTGCCTTTTGCAACGATTTACGCATGTGAGATAGCACGTGTGAGCTGTAGTTAGTAATGCACGTAATACAAATTGAAATTTTCTCCCAACAACATTCAAATTCTTCCCCTTGCCCCACTTGTACCCCGCTTGTCTTGTCTTACACTCGGCCTAGCAAATGACAGAAAAGAAATTTGGGGATGGACAAAATCTAAACTTTGACAAAAATCTGTGTTGATAAAATCCAACTTGAATATTATTAAACAAGGAAATTATTTCTCATGACAAACCAAACTAAATTCTAACAGACAAATTTATTCGAAAACAGAAGTTTGCTTCAAATTAGGCCCACCATATGTGTTGTTTGGTACTCCCGAATTATGTAAACCAAGATGGCAAACAGCGGAATGTAGTATTTGTACCAGGTTATGGTTAGGCCATAATTGTATTCTGATTTTTTTTATTTTTGTTCGATTACGAGTTCGGGGACTAGCCAAGTGACTGCCATAGTATCTGTACGTGAAATCAATTATGGCCTAAACCTAACCTGTTACACATACTACGTTCCTGTGTCCGCCATCTTGGTTTACATACTTCGGGAGTAACGTTGGTTTAGCTGGGACAGTCCCGCTGTACCACCCGGTAAACTTGAATGTCCCAGTCATGCGGTATGTCATTATAAATATTTTTAAAAAAGTGCAAGTTTTTTAATGGTTTGAAATATCACTCATATTCATATGAGTTGAATGTTACGAAGCCTCTGAATCTAACAAAGACTTGTTCAATTTGCACTCCCAGTTTTTTATTTCCTATCTATGGTACGCCTACTCATAATATAACTTGAAACTAATCTGTTGATTTCAACAAGCCTAACAGAGGTAAAGCTTGGCCAACAAGTGAAAATATAGGGTGAACAATATAATACTGGTAACTGGGCAATCCAGAAGTGTGTGTACCAATATGGAGGTAACTAATTTAGTTTAGCCTATTTTACATCAGGTTGTTTAAAAAGACTGGAACCTATGGGCAGGGGGTATATTCACTTGGCTAACACAGACAGTCCCCAAACTCTGGAAAATCGCAATAAAATTATGGCCTATACTCTAAAATTTATCTGAATAACTAAACTTGACAGAATTTTGGACAGATAAACTCTGAGAGATTCCTATTTCAACAATTTATATAAAACTTAGCTACAATTTTTTTTTAGAATCTAGGCTGGCCAAAATCCTAACTTAGACAAGATGCCACACTGATAAAATACAACAAACCTGGCAGTACTAAATTCTACTGTGATAAATGAACATAATATGGCATTGGAAAAAGTTAAAACAAAAAATGTCCTATTTTAGCAATTTATCAAAAACTTAGCAGCCTAAATTACTAGAATTCTAATTCAGACAAAAAGCCATACTAATAAAATTTAACAATTTAAAATCCGTTTTCCACAAACTGTGAGGCGAGGCGGACCTGGTTATAATGCGCATTGAAAATAAATTGCTTGGATTTGTGTTTTGTCCATGGATAAGTTCATCTGACTATTAAACGCAACCGGTACTGGATTTGAGTGAAGACAATAATGCACCAGGCACTACCTGATACATACATTAGGTGCACTGGCTTATAAGGCAAACAATTGATTTTGGAGATGAAAACTCCACAACACACACAAATTGAAAACGGATAATTCTGGAGAGCGATCAAAACGTTTAATAATGTTTGAAACAAAAAAAATTACATGTGCCCACCTGCCAGCACACACACAAAACATAAACCTAGCGGTGATTTTCTTACACCCCCCTATAGTGGTGAACAACCGCCTAAAATTTAAATATTTATAAAGTGGCTCATATGTTGGTGAAGATGATCAGTCAAATACATAACACATGTTTATAAGTTACAAATCGTTTTACCACTAATAACAAAATATCTACCACCCACTGGATTTGGAAACACCCCCCCCCCCCCCTCTAAAATAAAAAGCTGGGGAACATACTGGTCAACCTGCTTAAATAAAGCTTGGAACATTTATATAAAATTTGTCTGATAACCTGGACAAAAAACAATTTTCCTCTAACGTTAGCTATGTAAATTTGGTATTCCTACAGTACGTGAACCAGGTTACGATTAGGTCATTATTTTATTACGATTTTCCTTGATTTAGTTCTATTACGAGCTCGGGGACTGTCAGTGTTAGCCAAGTCAATCTACCCCCTGCACATAGGT